TCCCTTTCTCAACCCCTTCCGCCGTCTCCCACTATCTCAATTCCACGCGATCAGGCAGCTGCTGGAGATGGTGAAATGCCCAAGCTAAATTTTCCTCGATGACCAAATTACCCTGAAAAGTTTCTTTTAATTTCAGTAAGTACCAGTGTACTTAGTGACGATTAGCAGGGAGTTCATTTTGAAGTCAAGAAGCGGCCGAATGTACATTTTTGTAATTTTTCCTCCTTCGCCGTGTCTATTTTGATCATCTATAATTAAAAATAAATAAATAAATAGAATTTCGGGTTAAACTTGGGATTATTTTTTACTTTATTTATTCATTTATTTATGTTTTAAATTGAAATAAAACATGTTAGTTGATAGTAGTTATGTTAAAAAATACTAAAAATATTTAAATGTTATTTTGAGTATTTTTTTAAATAAATTTATTCATTATTAAAAATAAAATTAATAAGATAGTATATTTTTGGAAAGGCAATATATAAATAAAAATAAAAATGACCCTAAAAACTTCTTAATGCAAGAAAGATTATTTTGAATAAATATACCTCGTAATAAGCAAGTTTTGAAAAGCATTTTGTTATATTTTTTAAGAAAATATGTTTGAAATTTCAATTTTTAAGGAAAACTCAATTATTTACAATAAGGTAGTTAATTAAAGTTCTTCACAATAAAAAAATAGATCAATGAAGTTTGAACATAGTTCAAATAAGATTTAAAATTATTTACACAAGTATGATTAATATAAGTTTATATGCAATATATGTAGATTTCATGAGATTTTTATTTAAAATAAGCTAAATTGTAAGTTATATTGCGTACATTTCACATTATCACTACAAAAAATATGTCAAATACTCATTACATTATATATGCAAAAATTAAGTAAATTATTTAATGTTTTTTTTTTTTTTAATGCAAAAATTAAGTAAATTATTTAATGTTTTTTTTTTAAATGCCTTGTCCTGTGATAATCTTAGGAACCTCATATGTAGTGGTCATCCTCCACTACAAAGGAGATTTAGAGGACAACAATTCATAGCTACTATCAAATAACCCTAAAAGCTCAAGGAATTTAGGGAATCACTTGCCAATTAAAGCCATCTTTGCTCATGTGATATGCCCTAAGATGCATAAGGAGTAATGTTCATATAACATCATGGCATCACAAATATTGAGATCTCGCATATAGATAATAAACTTTTGTTCATATTTATTGAAAAGCATAAGAGTTTCGCATCTTGTATTCCTCTCCAATGACACTTATAAGGGCATATTGAGGTCATTTGAATGAGTCTTACTTTTTTGACATATTATACATATAGATTGATATTTTATATCTATATTCGAATAATTCCATTAACATAATAATACTTGGGGTCTGTTTAGGACAGCTTATTTGTGCAGGTGACATTTTCAAAAAATCGTTATACTGTTTGTTTTTCGCGTTTTAATAGCTTATCTCAAAATCCCATGTTGAGATCCCAGTGTCCCGCGTTTTCATTTAGCGTTCGATAAAATTTCCTCAGTGTGCCCTCGCTCTCCGCCTATACTCCGCTGCCCTCACGAAAAGCGATCGAGCCCCGCGTAGCCGCTCCCCGCTTCTTTGGCATTCCTTCTCTTCCAAGTAAAGGCTGCGTTCTTCGTTCGCCAAAGTGCTCTGCCCTACTCACTCCTTACTTCTTCTTCGACATTCCTTCTCTTCGAGGTAAACTCTTCTCCTTTTATTTTTTTCGCTTCTTCTGCTGCATTGCCCGCTCCTCCGGTCGCTCCCTGCTTCTTCGGCATTGCTTCTCTTCGTCAGTAATATGGAAGTAATAATCTCGCTCCTCCTCCCCTTCTTAGGAGGAGAGCAAGGTAAGAGCTCCTTTTTTTATTTTTGGCAAAACGTCTTCATCTTCCTCTGCTCTATTTTTTTTTCTTCTAGTATGTCTGCTCCGCCTCCTCTTCTCCACTCCTCTGCTCCTCCTCTGCTCATAAGTAGTCAATTTTTAAATCAATATAGACTTCTAAAGATTAACAGTAGAAACGGGTAAAGGAAATCATGAACTGTCCGCTGACCTTTCTATTCTTGATTTATGAATCCTTTCATACAAAAATCAACAGTAGAATGGGCATTGTTTTATGGAGGAGATTGGGAATTATGTGGTATGTATGTGGGATAATGATGTGCTGATTTTATTTATGATTGACAATGGTTTTTGTAGGTTAGCTCTTCCTATAGAAAAGTGGTATAGATGAGATGCACAACTTTACAGCAAATTTTACAAAAAAAGCTGCAAAGTTTATAAAGACTTTTTATATTCATGCAACTGAAGGTGATAAATATTTGAAGGGAAATTTGCGCTTGTGAGTTTGGCGTACCCATCAGTAGATATTACCTGCTTTAAAATTGAAATTACCGCAACTTTAATTTTGGGCATATGAATTGTTTTAAATTTGGCAACTGAAGTTGCTTTGCTGAAATTTGATTCGGTTCTTCTGTTTAGGGTTGTAATGGAAGGTTGTTCTGTTGGCATTACATATGTAATGGAAGGTTGTTATGTCGGCATTACACATGAAATGCTTTAGACTTGTTTTGAACTTCAAAATTTAATTGAGACATTTTATGTTTTTTTTTTTTAACACTACATTGCATTAATGCAATTGACAACATTAGTTGGGCATTTACATACACACAACTCAACTCAACAGCAGAACAATGGCAGAATGATCATTTATCCAGAATTAACTGTTTTTTTGCAAACACACAAAACAAACAGCCAGCCAGTTTATCTGGATCAGCAAATTATCAGGATAAGCTGTTTATCAGCATAAGCTGAATAAGTTACAGCTGCCCCAAACATAAGATGGAACCCGCAGCAGCTTCTTGAGGCAGTGCAGCTGCAGCTAAAAAAAGCTAGGAAGCTGCAGCTGCGACAAAAAGCAGACGTGGAATCGACCCGCATCTGGCGGTTTCGTTCAGCGTTCGATAAAATTTCCTCAGTGTGCCCTCGCTCTCCGCCTATACTCCGCTGCCCTCACAATAATTTCTCCACGAAAAGCGATCGAGCCCTGCGTAGCCGCTCCCTGCTTCTTTGGCATTCCTTCTCTTCCAAGTAAAGGTTGCGTTCTTCGTTGTCCATAGAGCTTTGCCCTACCCACTCCCTGCTTCTTCTGCATTCCTTCTCTTCGAGGTAAACTAATCGCCTTTTATTTTTTTCGCTTCTTCTGCTGCATTGCCCGCTCCTCCGGTCGCTCCCTGCTTCTTCGGCATTGCTTCTCTTCGTGCATTGCTTCTCTTCGTCAGTAATATGGAAGTAATAATCTCGCTCCTCCTCCTCCCCTTCTTAGTAGGAGGAGAGCAAGGGAAGAGCTCATTTTTTTTATTTTTGGCAAAACGTCTTCATCTTCCTCTGCTCTATTTTTTTTTCCTTCTAGTATGCCTGCTCCGCCTCCTCTCCTCCACTCCTCTGCTCCTCCTCCGCTCATAAGTAGTCAATTTTTAAACCAATATAGACTTCTAAAGATTAACAGTAGAAACGGGTGCAAAAGGAAATCATGAACTGTCCACTAACCTTTCCTATTCTTGATTTATGAATCCTTTCATACAAAAATCAACAGTAGAATGGGCATTGTTTTATGGAGGAGATTGGGAATTATGTGGTATGTATGTGGGATAATGATGTGCTGATTTTATTTATGATTGACAATGGTTTTTGTAGGTTAGCTCTTCCTATAGAAAAGTGGTATAGATGAGATGCACAACTTTACAGCAAATTTTACAAAAAAAGCTGCAAAGTTTATAAAGACTTTTTATATTCATGCAACTGAAGGTGATAAATATTTGAAGGGAAATTTGCGCTTGTGAGTTTGGCGTACCCATCAGTAGATATTACCTGCTTTAAAATTGAAATTACCGCAACTTTAATTTTGGGCATATGAATTGTTTTAAATTTGGCAACTGAAGTTGCTTTGCTGAAATTTGATTCGGTTCTTCTGTTTAGGGTTGTAATGGAAGGTTGTTCTGTTGGCATTACATATGTAATGGAAGGTTGTTATGTCGGCATTACACATGAAATGCTTTAGACTTGTTTTGAACTTCAAAATTTAATTGAGACATTTTATGTTTTTTTTTTTTAACACTACATTGCATTAATGCAATTGACAACATTATTTGGGCATTTACATACACACAACTCAACTCAACAGCTTATCCAGAACAGGGGTTGAATGGTTATTTATCCAGAATTAACTGTTTTTTTGCTTTTTGAACCCGCACAAACCAAACAGCCAGCCAGCTTATTTGGATCAGCTGCTGATCAACAAATTATCAGGATAAGTTGTTTGCATAAGCTGGATAAGTTACAACTACCCCAAACATAAGATGGACTACACCCATTTGTTTGCGAGAAGAGTTCTTAAAATAGAAAACTAGGTGATGAAGGTTTTAAAATGGACGGTGAATTTTAACCCTCGTACTGAACCTCCTACCATTCTTGTTTAGCTGTGCTTCCCAGGTTTGAAGAGCCGCCTTTTTTTATCAAGAGCTTCTCTTCACTTTAGCGATGGTATACGGTAAACCCTTCAAAGCTGACACGCCTACAGTGAATTTGACTCAGTTTTCAGAAGCCAGAATTTTGATAGAAAGGGATATTACTTTACCTTTTCCGAGATAAATATAGATTGGCACACAACATCAGGGATTTTAGCAGCAAGCAGAACTTGAACATATACCACTTTATTGTACCCACTATCGTATGTTTGGACATTCTCCTTCTCAATGTTATCAGTTACATCCGAATTTAAAACCTTCAAGTAAAAACGCTTCTGGATCTGCCCCACCTCATACCTGTCCCTTCTCCGCTCCTGAGTGCATTTCACAGACTATTGAAACACCGGTTAACATGATGCCACCTCCCCCTCCCACTACCGGAGACAATACTGTCTCTGTTCTTTCGATTGAAATATTGGCAGATGATTTACTTGGGTCCGATAATCAGTATAGTATTAAAGCTCCACATCCCCAGGATGCATCAAGTGTTGAAGAGACATGCTTAACATCTCTTCAGAATCAGAATATTGTTATTGCTAGTCAGGAGTTGGGGGCTCATTCTTTCCTACATGCCCAATAATCTGTTGACCACACTGATCACGGATGAGGAATGACAGGTATACACATCTAGAAAGAAAAAGAAGAATGAAGACACACCCCAACTTGGGAACTTAATGGATGATACTCTAGCAACTTCGGGTAATGGAACGACACTCAGCAATTAGTTAGCTATCTCCGCTCCTAGAACCAGAGGCAGAGGCAAGACCAAACTGGCTCGTGTCTAGCAGCTTATTTCCTGCAAGTTTTATTTTTTTTGTGTTTTATCTATGTTTATCCATTTAGGATGCTAATGTCTGATGTATCGTATGGGTAGGGCACCTTTTTTTGGGTCATCTCATACAAACTCTATGTATCTTTTCAATTTCAGGATTCTAAGCAAGGGAGAGAGAGAGAGAGAGGACCATTTTACTCTAGCATTCAATAAAACAAATGGGTAATTACTCACAGATCAACCCAAACTTGCTATTTAAAAATCAACCCTCCCACTTTCATCCATTTTTCAGATTCTCACACAAAAATCAATATTCATGATAAAACCCAAACCCATATCTTTCATTCTTATCAAATTCTCAATAGTTTAATCATGACTAACGTGAATATATCAATTCAGCAGTTCAAAAAAATATATATAACCGGTTAATATGTGAATATCAATATTTCCGGTGATCAATATGTAATTATCCCTAAAATAGAAACTTTACCAACATCCTATAGAGAATTTTAAAGAGAAAATGAAGATCAATATAAAGGCAAAACATAAATTTAATGAATATTTTGATTAAACTTGGATCCGAATTTTCTAAACTAAATTTCAGAGGTTAGTCAATCTCAAAGCAAACAAATATGATAAAACATAACATTTATACCTTTGTTATGTAACATGAAAGTAAACACGAATAATGCACATCACACCTTCAGATCTCACAAAATCTATTTTAATTACTTTGACAAAAGCATCTAACAAAAATAAAATAAAAAATTTACATAATTCATCTGTGCCAAACAATTTTACAAAATGTGAGCTGATAAATGCATGCTCTGAATCATTCGATTCCACAAATGAAAGAATTATGGTTTTTCATACAATAAATGTTGGAAAAATTAACTTGCACATAGTGCAGAATGGATCAGCCTAAATTGCGTTTTTATTTTATCAATATTCTCTACAATCATTAGGCAAATTGATCTCATCAAATTCCCTTAACAAAATGGTTTGGAAAGCTAAGATCTTGTAATAAAAATTTGGAAATGAAGCTAGCTGCTTCCTCTGCAGAAAGTTCTTCTGAAAGTGAAGGTTGAGTTGTGTGTTATCAATTTCCATGTCTAAGAAGTTCTTCTCTGACAGGACTTTGGTAGGCCATAGTCTTTCTTTTGATTAAGATGTCGCCTCCAGGTATCATTGTGCAGTTTATAATGTAATATCTGTTTCAAATGACAATAATGAGTCTGCTACACACTGTAGCTGCTTAATTTCTTTTGATTAGGCATTCCTAACAAAGCTTTGGGGCTCTATTTACAAAATAAAATAAAGGAAAATTTACATACATGCCAAACAGTATATGCCAAACAGTTCTAGTGTAGTTATATATCTACCACCTAAAGTTTGACAACTATAGTTAAAATAGTTTAATATCATAGATCTATGTATGAAAATATATACTGCACTTTTAGGGGGTGTTTGGTTGTAAGTAGGATTTAGTTTAAATAGGATTTAATAAATCATGTAAATCTGGATTTATCAAATTCTGAGGGGGTTAAATCTTGAAAACTGGTTGGTATGTTAGTAAGTAATGAGTAATGATACATTCTGAGAAACTATTTGGTAACTTTTAGTAAGATTTAGTAGGATTTAGATTGTTAAAAACTTTAGAAGCATGCCTTTGTCAAAAACTTAAATCCCGTATTTTAGAAGCATGCCTTCAAAAGCAGCTATATGATCTTTCTTAATGATATAAATATTAAGTCGACTTAAATTTAATTTAAAATTTTTAGTTATAATTATACAAATCAATAATTAAATATTTACATATAAATTTATTTAATTATAATTATATGGATAACATATTAGATAATTATTAGTTACTAATAAATTAAATTAACTTAAAAAAAATTAAATTAAAACCATAAATCCCCTCACCTCTCGAACCCAAAAACCTAGCCAACATCCCTATCCCCTCTATCAATTTCGCCAAAACTATCGCCTTCATGACCTAACTCTCACATTGGAGTTAGAGTTGAGAAGGCAACGATGGGATCGTGACGTACAAAAACATCTGAAACTCTCATATTTCTCCTCCTTTCGGTCCAATAAAGAGTTGGTGGCAAATATACATGAATTGAGATAAGACGCCACGTGAGAGTTGTTTCATTTTTACTTTAATCTTATTAAATCTGTAGAATTATGAGATTTAAGGTTTGTTTGGCGCAGCTGCGGTTGTTTAAAGAAACTATTGTAGCACCCTCCCCGCATCTCAGGCCTAAAAACCACACCTGGTCACTCTTTTCCATTACGCAAAGACCTCACCACCTCCTCCTACACCGAGCACGCAAACGGTGAGAATCTCTCTCTCCTCTTCCCTAAACCTACTCGAACACCAAGGCTCCTCCCTTCGCACTCTTGTTCCTCCCAGTTCTCCCTCAGCCTTGCTTTGCCACTATCATTCACTTCCGGCAAACAACTCACAGCCTGCACTCTCCTTTGTCAGGCTCACTTCAATCACGTGACTATTTCCACGAGCCAAAGTACCTTTCACAGCCTGCACTCTCCTTTGTCAGGCTCACTTCAGTCACGTGACTATTTCCACGAGCTAAAGTACCTTCTTCACCTAATTGCACCACAAACTGCAAGCCAACCACACAACACAAAACTGCAAGCCAACCATACCACAACAGCCTCACTCTCATTTTCTTTCTTCGCACGGAAAAATCACCTCATTCCCACTTTCTCTCTCTAGAAAGAGAGAAAAATTTAGAAAGAATTGTGTATTATTTTCGGGGCAATTACATAAACCACCTTCTTTCAACCATTTTTCAAATTCTTACTCATACATCAAAATTCATTGTAAAACCCCAACCCACATTTTAATTTTTTATCAAATTCTCAATAGTTTGATAGTGGCACACCTAAATACAACGGTTTGACAGTTCATAAAAACCACCTGAGTGATTAACTTGTAAATATCAATATTTAGGATGGTCTGTATGTAATTGTCTCTTGTTTTATTATTTGATGGCAAGTTTCTAGTAACATTTGGTGCATAAATAAATGCCCAATCACCAAGCAATCATTTCATCCTAAGAAAATGTGTATTTGCATTTGCAAACTACACAATTTTTTTTTTTTATTTTCTACAGATGAGATGAAATGATTGTTAGGTATTTTCTCCTACATCAAAAAAATTTCATGCTAGAAATTTGTCCACCCAAAAAAAAGAATACTCCTAATATAAGAATATGCTATGTAGTCACATATGTATTCCAAGGTGATCAAGAAAAAATATAAATATAATTACTTGTAATCGTTCCAATAATAAAAAAATCTTTTATCTTTTTTCATGCAAGTATTGATGATTTACACAAGTTTGGTCAAACACTATTGATTAAAAAAATTTTTGCTGTGGTGTCTCGTGACACTAATAATGCACTTCTAATATGTAGCGGTTAAAATTCTATAAAAGGATCCATTAAAATGAACCTATTGGACTAAAAAATAAACAAAATATAAGTATAAATAATAAATTGATGAAAAAATAGATGCCTGAATTATCTTGAATAATTAAAATAAAAAAGAATTGAATACAAATAAAATTTGCATGAGACTTACATGAAACTCTATTGTTCATCTATAAGCATGAATGAAATTGATAAGGAAATCATTGACCCACCAACGGGAAAAAATTGGGCCTTATATTGAATATTTGGAATCTATTAAAATTCTTGTTGAATGGAATGTAAGGAATTATAAAGAACATGTAATGAAGTTGAAAGTTAATTTTCTAACAAAATCAAAATACGTAATTGCCTTGTAGTGAATAGGGGTGTAAACGAGCCGAACACGAGCTCAAAAAGTGTATTCGTGTTCGGCTCGTTTGCTTAACGAGTCGAGCACGAGTTGTTCACGAACAAAGAGTCATTTTAACAACCCTAATGATGTAGCCATAAAACAATAAGTGTTTGAGCAAGATTTAAAAATTATTATTTATATTAAAACATCATTTGAATCTAATTTAATAATTTTTTTTCTATTTTCTTAATCAATATTTTAATTGATTATAAATCTTTGTAGCCTTGTTGTCAATTAGATTTTTTTAAAATACTACTTAATATATATATATAAACTTGATGAGTAGTATTTCGAGCCAAAACGAGTCAAACACGAACGAACACATCTTAGTTCGTGTTCGTCTCGTTAACTTATCGAACGAAATTAACGAGCCGAACACGAGCTTCTTAACGAGCCGAACACGAGGTGTTCGCGAACAACGAGCCGTTTTGACAGCCCAAGTAGCGAAGTTAATGCTTCCTTGTGAGCGAGAATGAAATGTCATTGAACAATTAAGTCAGTAAATTATTATTGATTGATCAAATTTTAGAACGTTCACACTGCTATGAGATTTGTAACACTAATATACAAATGGACAGAAAATATTTTCTTGAAAAAAGTCAAAGTAAAGCTTTGCACACATTAGTTCGTTAAAACAAATAAAATTTTGCACGTGTTTTATTAAACACTATTTAATTTAAACATAAGTCGTCTTGAAAAGCATGTAAATTTATTAAAATGTGCTCAAGCCCTTGAAATTTAAAAACACCCATATCCACACCGACTAATCGGTATATAGAAATCTCAAATATTTGATCTGAGAATGAAATGCGAGTTGAACATAAGTTTAATTAAAGTGTAATCTAATTTGAAAATCGTACAACGATCATTTAAGTTTTTCAAAAATAAATCTTTTAAAAATGAAATTTAAAATCATTAACTAATTCATGTTTTTCAGTGGGTCACCTTGTCTATAAGGCAATGTTATTAATCCAATCTGATCCTCCTTCTCGAAGGGTCGAGAGTATGCAAGACCCAACTCCCATTTTGGTTAGTCAGATCTTTCTCCTAAAGAGGATTAGAGTTGATGGGACTGAGCTTACCCCTAACCAGTCTGATCCTTCTCTTTAAAAGAGCTAAAATTAACAAGTCTTATGTTTTGATGACATTGAAATATTTAATTTTAATTAAATTACAAATATGAATGTTTCAGCAATTTTTAGTTCGATGAAAATCGTGTTGAAGGTCAGACTCAATTGAGGGGCCGACTCCTAAAATTGAAGTTTTTTAATCCTAAATCTAAATACAGAATAATTTATGCTCGATAGTGGACGTGTTGATAATGATTATCAATAGAAATGGTCTATTTCAATAATTAAGCTCAAAAAATATTTTGAATAAATTTGATTAATATAAGTTATGAACTTGAACCTTTGTAAGCAAGACAGATTCATCAATTTTCAAAGTTAACCAAATCGTTGATGATGGCCATGTTGAATGTAAATTTCAATCCATGGGCTTCTTATTTTTAAAATATACACAAGTTTTAAGTAATTTTTTTAAAACATAAATTTCAATGGGGTGTAAAAATATAAGAAAAAAATATGAAATAAAAGTGTCTTAAGTAGAATTTTATCGCATAAAAGCTAATATAAAATCTCATCCAGACTCCATAATTATTTGTTGAATGTGAAAAATTTATGATTAATTAAAACTTATAAAGAATGAATGTCATATAAAGTGTATTACTACATTCATACTTAAAATAATTTATGTTAGTAAGGATGTGGCCTGAGTTCTTGATTCGTATTTTTGGCTTAACGACTCCACAGATATAGTAGTTATGAACACAGCTTCAGATCGAGTGGTTAACCCAACGACTCTACTATATTATATTTATAGTTATAACCTGTACATTTCCCAATAACTTCGTGTCCAATTGAGTTGTGAATCATAGTGTGTACTTAATATGGTACTGAGAATAAGAATAATTATCTAAGATCGGCTCGAACAATCTACATGTATACTTTTATCTCAAGTTTATAAGGATCTCTTAGACTAATCAACTCATGACTATTGATAAGCATTCTTTTATCAAGTTAGCTCGAATAATTCTTCTTACCAAGATAAACTAGGGTCCATGACAACCCGAAATGACAGAAACATGAGATATTGATCAGATTCATCATTATTCTCCCCACTATTTGCTCTAAGCTTATGGTGATGACTTTCTATAACCCAAAACCTAAATTATAGCTACTATATGCTAAACAATTAACACCCTAATGAATAGCCTTAATGAAAAGTACTCTCCCGCTATCAGAAAAGATAATTAATCTAAAAGGCCAGTCCTATAGGAGATCTTGAACGGAGATCTTAAGGTCCTCAAAAAATGAGGGTGAAACCTTTAGGTAGTATTTTATCTACATTTCTAATCTACTAAAAATTTGTCCTGAAGCACAAAAAAAAATTATGACATCATCAAAGGAAGCCAGGGTGCAAATTTTCAAAGCCAACACTCTTAAGATTCTTAACACAAACCTTCATCCTCTTCTATTCATGCAGAATGTCACAATCATGCTTGGAATGTTCATATCAATCCTATTACAATTGATTCTTGTTAGGGACCATAGCCCCTATTGATCTTCTAACTTCAAGTTCCAAAAATGTCTAGTTCATTAAATTCTCTATGGCCCAGTGATTGAAGAAGATTGTTTCTTTAGTTCTACTGGTAATTATTAATAAAAAACGCATAACAAAGCCAAAGACTTGAGGTTGCCTTTTTGCTTTTTACCAAGTAGGCTGAATTAGAACAATATATTTGACGGTAAAAGTATCAAATTTAATTTTTTTTTGTTAAAAAGCCGGATGCATATGAGAGACTGTGTAATTCCATGTTGGATTATATTTTTACCAAATTTTAAGGTTCGGTTTTAAGGATATTCAATTCAACACAAATGCATAGAACTTTCATACCTGTATGAATGTGGCAAACACATCATCGTCTCCTAGTTTTGAGAATTCAACCGCCCAATCTTCTTCAGCAGAAAACAAACTGCTTTGTCTCTTAGCTTCAAGCAAAAGAGTGTCAAGATATAGGAATCTCTGCCAAATATGGCGAATGTTTGCTAACATGAATTCCACTTCTGTTTCATTGATCCCCTGCAGTAAACTTACAAGCCTTCAAAGAACAAAGAGAAAAGAGAACTCTTCCATTGATAATAACAAAAGAAGTTACTATACCCGAAGTATCTTAACCAAATTTGGAATTTCATCCTCAGTTATACGGACAGCAAAACTTCTGTAATTGAGTATATTCTCATATGGCAAGAAAATCCCATCCTGCAACAACTCGGTTGCTCAGGCTTGAAAAATCAGGACATGTATTGTAATAAAAATTCAACTTCTGTACTTCTAGTGACGATACAAATTCTAAGAGGCTTAAACAAAGAGATCTTTAAAGCTGAAGTTAAAAAAAAAAAGTACTAAATACTTCAATGAAATATTTCTTAATTGCAAGATCAGCAAGAAAATAAAAAGAAAAACGCAAATATATAAAAAAAAAACCTAAAAATAAGGAGAATGCTGCATGATGCACCCAAATTTTACCTGAATTATCACAGGAACACATCCTTGGAGAATGCTATCTTCCATGCGACCACTCCAACCATCTCCAGGAAGAACACCACAGAAAATGGAGCTTGCGAGTTCTTCAAAGTACTTTGAAGAACGCATTGGGGTTACTGTAACATTAGAAGTATGCTGTCTCCCAAGCTTTCCCTCCTTATTAGGAGTAGAACCAAACTCTGCAGCTAGCTTCTGTCTAATGCCCATACTGTACCTGAAATATAATTAAGCACAATAGCAGATTCAAACTCATCCGTATGGGAGGAAAAAGACGTAAAAAATCAGTTTTAAGTGTCAAAACATACGTATCCTCGGGTCGACCATCTTGATATGCGGGACCTAAATTTCCATTGAAGTAGAAAAATGTAGTTCTTCTCTTAAGAGGCCTGTGAATATGTTCCAATCATATATTTTTAGAATAACAAATCAAGAGTTCAATGGAAATCCAGAATTATGTTTCTGTTTTACAACCTAGCCCATAATTTTAACCAAATTGCACCGGGTTCAGGCCTCTTCCAAGCAGGGAGCACAAGATCCTTCTCTGGATCAAAGCATGGATGGTTTCCTCTTCTATCGGAAGGAATACTGTCCCAGATATCACCCCAATAAGCTGTTGTTGAGTGGTTGTGTTTTGTATTTGTGTTTCCCCAGTGGACTAACATCATACTGTTCCAGATTTCTTTTGGAGCGTAGCAAGCACCTTCGTCCCATGCAAAGAACTGCCTCACAGAACCAGCTTGATTAGAACCGAAATGAAGGGGCATTTGCATATATACAACCCAATTCCTATGCATTTAGAATTCTAACACCTAATAATTTACTTTTTATATTTATACCACCCAAATTTTTTATATCACATAAAAAATACCACTATTTTAACTTCTAAAATGTGAAATACACCTTTTCAAACATAGGCAAGCTGTACATACGTACAAATTGAGGTTTAGGTCTTAGACACATAAATACATAGGAATTGAGTGGTAGGCATGTGAATCTTCAAAAAATAAATCAAGAAGAACAAATCTGGTTTTATCCAAACTATTTGCAGGTCGGTGAATTAACAAACTAAACATAATACCCATATATGATCCCTTCCTGAGGTACGGTTCCAGTATGGATAATGATGAGCTATATGTCGATACGCCTTCTTATAAAAGTCAAGCGCTAAGGAACTTCTCAGACCCATCTGTTCCTGAAATAAAAGCAAATTATTCAGGATTTCTCCATCTTTCTAACAGTATATTCATGGCAAGGAAAGTTAAAAGATGTCATATCAAATAGAGATATCAGGCTCTAATCAACAGCATGTACTACTATGTAGATATTTATACCCGCAAGCTTAGATGAGGGGCATCATCCGCTCGAGTAATTATGCATGAATCGAGAACTGGAACAAAGAAATAGTCTGCTTCTTCACCATTCAAAGTACGATGAGAGCTTGCTAGAATGCTCTCATAAAGTGCCATCTAAAAATGGAGGATAAGAGAACAGTTGGAGAACTAATTGAGGACATGAATATACTTCAATGAAATTGAAATCTTCATCAAATAACACCTGTGCGCCGTACAACTGAGAAGTCCACAAAGTTCTGTTTTTCTCAGTGTATAATCTGTTTACACACTCGAATCTGAAATGCCTACCCTGCAACCGCCAAAAAATCAAATTGGCACCTATAAACCTAAACAAAAGTTTAAATCAGGGAAATTTAGTCCAACAGCTGACCTCAAGGAGATGACTATTGAAATCTGGGGGAAGATCATACAGGTATATTAGAGGTCTCTTCTTTCTAACAATTGCTTTAATACCAGCGAAGTCATTATCTAAAGTTGCTTTATCTGGTACCTCTACAGTTGATGGTCTTAGCCAAAGAGGCCATTCCTTTATGGGTGATGAGACTGAAGGAATACTGCAATCGGTCCCATACCAGCCTCCGCCGCACTGCAGGAGGACACCATTTCAGTCAAACAGACTAAGAAAAGAATAAGCAAAAGAGTAAATTGCCAAAATAGTCCCCTAATTATTTTAATCCTAGAGTCTATAAAAATATCAAATTAAACCCCAGACTCATTTTATATGGGTTAAAATAGCCTCCAAAGAGGACTAATTTAGCCACCTTTAAAAAAGTCTTATGTATTTAATTGATACTTTTATAGACTTTCAGACTAAAATGTCCTTTGACAAATAAATGGAGGCCATGCTGACACTCCTCTTATAAACAAAGTGTGGGTGTGATTTTAGGAGTTATACTGCCATATTCTTGAGTTCAGATATAATTTGCGCTATATGTATTGAGGCTAGCAAGTCTGAGATTGAATGGTAAATTAAATTTTTCAGGTAAGAGTATACAACAATCAGCTCTCTCCTATGATTTAAGCTTGTTTACCCAATTGCAAATAGATCAAGAGATTGTTTCTTCTGTCGCAAAGAAGATACAAAGCCAACTTATGGAAGCGAGTTAACTTCGAAGGTGTTTGATTTGTTCTAAATTAGCATCATTTACTTTACATCAAGTTACTTTTTTACTTGAAAAATATGTTGCACAGAAAAGAGAATCATTATGGCCGCACTCTCTTCCAACTGGTTTAGATCATTTTACATCTATTTTAAGGGAAAGTTACATATGTACCAAACAATTCTTATGAATTTACATATCAAACACAAAAAGTTTAATATTTACATGTATAACACCTTGGTGCTATAAACTTATGTATAAAAAGGTGCACTTGACTTTTAAGCAGTTAGTAAAAGTGGTATTTTTGGTGTGATGTTAAATATTTGAGTGCTATGAATGTAAATATTAAAGTTTAGGTGTTAGATATGTAAATACATAAGAGCTGTGAAGTATGCATGTAAATGCCCCTTAAAGAGCAAATATGAAATCTCCATGACACAAAATTGTTACACATACCTGGCAAGCTCCCCCACGACAATATCCGTGCCCAGAACATTGGTTAATACAACTGCATTCTGTCGGTATTTCACAGAATCTTCCCCATCGGCCATCATATTTACAATCACACTCCTCTTTGAACTTCACCTTATTAGAATACGCTTCTGCTGGATCTACATTACACCAGCCATGTCTGCTACCATTTGTTGTATATACATTTTCCAAATCATCTTTCGACCAATCGGCAATCTTGGGACCTCCAGGTTCGGTAGGCATGCTGAAGAAGATAATTACTTCAAATAATCAATTTAATATATGATACTATTAAGATAATGATAAGGCAAAGCATATATACTATATAAGAAATTTACATACATAGTACACAATTCTTATGTATTTACATATTCCACACCTAAACTTTCATATTTACATGCATAGCACTTTGGTGCTTTAAACCTACACATGAAAAGGTGTACTTCACTTTCAAAAAGAGATAATAATGCAATTTTTTATGTGATATAAAAGATTTGAGTGCTATGTGTGTAAATATGAAATTTTATATGTGAGATATGTAAATACATAAGAATTGTGTGTTATTTATGTAAATGCCCCATAATATATTTGTTACTTTATTTTAAATCCACAAGCCTCTGCAACTGGCCTATATGGATACTTTGTCCCTTCCCCACAAAAGCACATAGCTCTAGTTCTATCACAATAAGCAGGACAAGAAGAAACAAGCCATGGGCCATATGGACTCCCAGGTGATGATGGAAGGTTGCAATCAAATTGCAAATTCTCAGAACATCCTTCACCTATTATAGCAATTATGATATCAGTACATATCTCTTAATGATGAGTAGAAATAAAGGGAAAAAAAGAATGGATGCAACGTTTGGCTAAATATTATCATATTCAAGTGTGGATTAGTGGTAAAATATGATAGATAGGTAAAATTCTTCCAAGCCACCATGTAGTAAGGCAATTTTGAAATCAATTTGACAAATCTCAAGATTCAAGCTAGCTGCAAAAATAATCATCACACAGATTGAAAACATCTTTACCACATGTACAACAAAAAGGCACTTAACTGAATCTTCCATAGATCTGATGATTCAGAACAAAGAACATGCCGAAACCGAAGAATGACAACTACAGATAAATGACATGAGGTCGACCGATCAAAATTCAACCGACCAAAAACCGAAAGTTATAATGTCTTTATTTTAAATATTGCCCCGATCACGATAAGGGCAAAAGTGGAGTTGTATAAATCACAAATGTACACGTTTAAGAGTCCAAAAGATAAGGAGTATAAGTGTCATTTCACAACAATCTAGGCCTCTATAAATAGAGGGGCATTAAATATAATATAAGTAGTTGAAACCTAATACCAACTAACTATATATAAATGTCGTCTGTTTCCATTTTGTTTTGCTAAAGTTTCGCCATTATGGCGAAACCTGGTATCTCTTCGTCGATTTGCTCTTCGTTGATTTCCTCTTCATCGTGTTTCCTCCTTTTCATCGTGCTTCGTCTGTGTCGTGCGACGTCGGCTTCTTCGTCTCGCGTCGTCTGTTCCGCGGTTATTTCACGCTCGAAGAAGAAGAAGAAGAGGTTTCGCTCCTCTGTTTCATCTTCCGTTGTCAGCTGCATCTCCTGCATTCGCACTTCTGGGGCTCTGTCTGCTACGGCTCCGTCTCATGTTGCACTTGCGTCCGTCCTCCTTGCATGTACGTGAGCTACTCGCGGTCTAGACTCAATCCTTGTAGCTTACCGCTGTTCAACTCCCTGTTCCATGGCTAATGCTCCTTCTCAACCACCGACTACTTCAATTTTAAACCTTGGAAAGGCTTCTTTTGTTGATATGGTTGGTTTTATGGGATCAGATCAGTTTTTCCCTCAGGTTTACCATGAATCATTTGAAGTCCAGGAGGACTGCAACCTTATCAAGAATACGTGTAGGAAGAGTGGCAAACTAGCTCTATTCTTTTCTGATGTTGAAGTTTCTAACCTGGTTAACAAGTGCAAATTCACCCTCATTGGGAAGTTTCAATTGGAACATCTTAAAATGGAAATCGTTCTAAAGACTTTTGAAGATCTCAAACTATTGGAACTTTGGAAGGTTGACCTCTTTGATGGGAGACATGTGATGATACAATTATCTAAAGTGGATGACTATGCCAAAATATTTTCCAAAAAGTTTAGACAATAGATGGAAAATATATGAAACTGCATAAGTGGTCTCCTGCATTTGACCCTAGCCAAGAACCACCTATAGTGTCAATCTGGTTTAAACTATACGGCCTAAAGTTGCACTACTTCAATCGTCAAGTCCTAATTCTATTGGAGCTGCACTAGAGAGACCTATAAAATTGGATACACCCACCTTCAATACCATGCCTTTGGTTGCAAGATTTCTTGTTGAAAGGGATATCACCCTCCCTGATGTGGACGAAATATAGCTTGGTACTGCCCACAATGGGTATTGACAGTCAATTGTTGCAGAACAAAGATCCTACTACTGCAATCACTGTAAACTGTTGGCACACACCTATCAAATGCTTCAGGCTTCACCCACATTTGAGATCGGCAGGTACTAACAACATCATACATGTGGAGGAAAATATAGCAGACACTGTTAATCTTCCAGAAATGTTGAAAGAAAATTTGACTCATAAGACTACTCCTCACCTACCATACCAGCAGTTTCCTACTATTATGTGGTTGAGGCAGCTCTTCCTCAGATCACAAATACTATGAATTTTGTTGTAGCAGATGCTAGCCAAAGTGTCTTGGAACCATCTATTGTGAGAGAAGAGGGTAATCAGGTTTTGGAGGAGTGTCAGGATCAAGGTGTGTTGTAGACTGAGTCAGATCAGCAGTTTACCTCCATCGAATGTCCACCTATTATTCAGACGTGACTACCTCTAGCAGATAATTAGCAGGTTTACAAATCTAGGAAGAACAAAAAAGGAATGTTAGATCTCAATAATTCTCAGGATGACTGTCTCATATTTTTGGGCGAAAGCCCACATCTCAATATGTTGTTGGACTCCCTCCCTAGATCCAAAGGAAGGGGAAGTGGTATATCCACCAACTACACCTACCATGATTAGGAGTTGTTTTCTTTTTGTTATATTTTTGGGGATTACGTTTAGTTGTAATCCTTGTGAATAGGTTTTTTGTACTCAATCACTAAAACATTTGTATCCTCTCTTTTATATCAATAAATTTTGTCTTTTCAATATATATATATATATATATTACGCTCTATTCATGGATGTGATTTACGGACAAATCTAAGTAAAATGCCCTAAAATGTGTGGCAAGAATGGATCATGCTACAAACAAGAAGAAGAGTAACTCGAGAAGAAGAATCCCAAAATTGAGTGACTACAAAAAACATAAACTGCACCCAAGAATTTGTGTCTTAGCAAATCAACAAACTCCAAAAACAGAGCACTAACTAAAAAGAAAACACAATTGTCGCGATCAGCGGCGTCTCGCCACCTGCAGGGAGCTCGCGCACCAAACACCAGATGAAACCCTCCAGACTTTGAATGGGAGAAAGACACTCACTACCCCGACGGTGCAGGTTCAGTGCCACTCGACCACAACAGATATGGAGCACCAAAGCACCACAACCTATGCAGTCGAACAACGTTTTATTCAAGAAAATCTCTAAAGTTGAATCCTCTGAGCGTTTCAAGATTCCAAGCCTGGAATTTTACCGATGACGATTGAACCCGACTGACCATATCGCCTCTTTCGAGTCGGCAATGTGATTGCTCAACATAAATGACATGTCGAAATGTCACATCTTCTTCACGAAGCTAAGAAAATTTACCCTCTGATGGTTCAAAAAACTACCACTAGTGTTGATCACCTCATTTACACACTTCAAGAGAATGTTTGTTGTGCAGTTCATCGGCATGCAAAATCCCACAAGAGCTTGCAGATACTCCTACAACTGTGCCAGGGGCAGGGTGAGTTCTTGCACTCCTTCATCACCTGATTTCAGAAGGAAATGTTGGAAGTGCAGGAATTATAACCTACGGTCGTTCATGTGGCCCTCGCCCAAGAGCTGAAGGAAGGTCCACTCTGTTATGTTTTGGACCTACAGTGCCCCAAAACATTGGTCAACTTACTGGATCTCACCAACAATCACATATTGGCAGAAGAGAACAACTCTCCCCTTGTTCTTTCTAGAATGAAACGGGCGAGCAGACACCCCTAAAGAGAAGCACCCGTGGGGAAGGTTAGAGATCAGGAAGCGACCCTTGTTCGCTGTTCAAAGCTAAGTTCAAGGATTAGATAATTGGTTGTTAGGAAAAATAACTCTCCACTAGAAAGCTGAGTTTGACACCCTGAATGGCGGTTGAACCGCTATGCAAATAGAAAGCCACCTCCAGCCCACGAACTCCCTCAACCAACTCCTTTGAAGGTATCGATGGTGGAGGTGATGTTGGTCATTTGAAATAAAGAGTACTTCAAGAAAATACCTCTCATTAAGGTCAGAGGCTACCTCTGGGGTCCCAAAAGATACTCCACTACCACTAAGACCACGACCATAACACGAAGGAATGTTGACACCTCTAAAACCTAATTGAAGAACAACCAAAGTAGGGAAACTCAAGTTTCTCGTAGCACCTGAAGTCACTACCCTTTGGCAGGGAAAGCCCCTGCAGAGAAGGAAATGAACCTACTCGAGCTCAAGCCACCATATTGTTGACATACTTACCATTATCTTCGATGGAGATGGGAGTGATGCCACCAACCGAGAAAGCTTGAAGAGGCTCCCTTTAGGAGAACTATGCATGGCCGCTTTGCTTCCAAACGTGTCGAGCGATACCCTCCAATCTGCTTCAAAGATAATGATCTACCCCACAAGGGCAATCCTTACAACGACGTGTTGTCTTCACTGCCCTCAACGGCAACTTTCAAGTCAAGAGTATATTAATCAACACTGGGACTTTGATGAACATCATCTTCAAATCAGTTTTTGACAAAATGAGCCTCAGGACCACCCATCTCTTAGCCACGTCCGGACCGCTCTACGACTTCTAAGGGGAAAGAAGGGATGGAACTCACGTTCAACATGATAGAAAAACAAAGCACTGAGTTGGCCCTCAAGAAGGAGAAGATCAAGAGAGGACTGCCCGATGGTACAACAAACATGTCAGATAAAGTTTTTTCAACATATGAGATCTCGTATTGAAGCAGTTTGGTGAATCACACCACAAGCCGGAGACCAAGCAAGCTCGGATCGACGGTTGGATCTATCATGAACAAAAAACCCTACACCTGCCAGAATTGACAAAGAAAATAGTCAGATAAAAACGATCCAGTCAACTCTAACTGATGCCCAGGCCCAAGTCCAGCACACCGAGAAAGGTAGAAGCAGATTCAAGAGTGTACAAGCCTGAGAAAAGCGAACGAACTTCTTGCCTGGTGATTGACCTCCAAAATCAGAATGCAAGAGCTCACCCTTCGTGAATTCAGCAAACAAAAAGTTCAAAAGCCGAGCGATGGAAGGTTCAGATAATCAGGCTCATCCTCGCCACCATCCTCAGTCCCCTCACTTAATGATCGTTGGAACCCTACATGGGTGATTCTAATGTACATTTCAGCTCCGTGGTACAGGTTTGGAATGGAATCCACCAGAATTTATAGGAAGCCCAAGAGAGAAGGCAGGATCAACGCATTTATTGTGGCTCTTCGTGGCCTAATAATTTAGTGACACATTGTTGACCTCATTTTGAGGTCATTACTCTTTTCCTTAAGAACCTAGAATCTAGTCATACGACTTTCC